TAATTTATATGTAAAACATAATAAAAAGAAGGCTTATATATCAAATAAATACTTTAAGTGTATTTTCTTTTTCATTTAACTACCTAAAACTTAGATGAAAGAATTTAAATAGTTTAGATACATATTTTGACATAAAATACTTCAGGTACATATTTTTATCAAAAAGATAACTTTAGGTACTTAATTGATTTTTTTTATTAATCTAGGGTAAATACAAAATATTATCTACCATGTTCACTCTCTCAACCATTTGACATTGAACACTCACACCCTTGGCATTCCTAGTGTTCGGATTTGAGACTTCAAGGAATAACAACAGTTCATTTACCACTGAGGTCGTTTGGTTCGTGCTAATTGAAAAAGATAGTATACTTTAAGTACTTATTTGTTATATAAGCCTAAAGAAACGATTCGATAATTTATATATAATAAATTAACAAAAATAATGGTTCAAATTAATGTATTTATAGATAAATGGATTACCCTTCCAAACTTTGCAAAGAAGAGGAATAAAATTCATAACTAAACTACTTAGATAGGGAGAGAAGAAAAATCTAGAAAAGCTGGAATTATCCCAAGAAACAAACAGAAAAGAGAAAGTGGCTCAAGATACCCAGAATAATGACCAAATCCACCTAGAATTTACACTATTAATTACTTTTTATACTAATAAAACTTATCACAAAAAAATGAAGAACATTAGTTAATAACTAGTAGTCTAAATGGCCAACAGCATTGATTAGCACTTGACATTATAAACCTGACATTATTGAACAATAATGGAGAGCATTCCACTCTCAGGGAATCATATCTCAGGGGACATTACCTATGTTGATTTATCGTATTCGGGTCGTTTTCGGTTCAAACCGAGTTCGAATTCTTGTGTGTTTATACATATCGTGTGGTTTGTGTTTGCATAGGGTCACAAGTGCATGGCCCTGGACTACATTCCAGTGCTTCCCGGGAATGGTTGCTATGTTTCCTTGTACTGGTCAAGTTTGTTCTTCTCATTAACAGGGAATTCACAATTCGTTTCAACTCTTTTGATTCCTACTTCAAATTGGCCTGGCATTGAATTGGGGTTTGAAGTGGGTGTTCGAGGGCGCGTGTCGTATGTATTTATCGTTATTACGGACATAACGAATATTATTACGAAATGGCCAAAACCATCGATTACTATTTAAGGCCCTTCTGGCGTGAGAATTTGTGGCATATCAGGCAGCACCACTACCCTAATTAGCCGGTTTTGTCACTTGAGCAGACCCATGGTTTTCACATTTCTTTGTCAAAGTATCTACATATATATATATATATATGTCTGGGCACTTGTGGTTGCACCATTTGGTAGGTTTAGTCCAATCATAAATTCACCATCTGCCATCAATGAGAGAAGAAACAACACATTATCATACCTCACATATGTAAAATCATATTTGTGTCCTAAATGTATAATCTTAAATTGTCTTTATATTTGTCCTAATGTTTTTTTGGGCTGGAAGAGATGATAGATGGCCAGGTTTTTTTTCTCGATAGTAAAAAAAGTTTTACTAATTAACCTAATAGGACATATAAAAGTTTATTTTAGGATTTACGATATTTATTATAGCGTTCAAATAACTTGTCACTTTTAGGTGATAAATTTTCTTAAAAAATATTTTTTTATTCAAACTCGTCATGTCAAGATGATTGGTGTCAATAAAATATATATTTTTATTAAATTTTATCACATCGGGGAAAAATGTTTTAATAAAAAAATATTTTTTATTGAAACTCATCACATCAATGCAACGAGTTTCAAGTCACAGTAATAAATATCATAGATCCCTAAATAAATTAATGCGTCATATTGAGCTAAATAATTAGCCCGCCTGCAGTATTGGACTAAAATTATTGGTGTCGTATTGGACTAAATAATTAACTCACCTATAATATTGGAATAATTCATAGTGCATTATCTAAAACCACACTTAAAGTTTAGTTTTTATTTCATTTTAGTATTCCGTTCAAAATTTAATGTTAAGTTTTCAAAAAATTGAAAATTTAAGTACTAAAATAGACAAAAACTGATAGTTTTGGTACTAAACACGTTAAGTTCAAAACAAAGAGGTACTGAAATGAAATAAAAACTAAATGTTAGGTATAATTTTAAAAAAATTGAAAGTTTAGGTACTATAATGGATAAAAATAATAATTTAAGTACTAAATGTATAGTTACCAAATTTTATTTTAAGGTAAATTATAAATTTCTCTGTTCAACTTTCTTTTCACTCTTATTTTATTTACTTAATTTTTTTAATTTATCATTAAAATTTTAAATTATTTTTATTTTGATCACATTATCATTAACTACTTAACAACACTATAATATGACATATAAAAGTATAATTAAATCGTTTTGAAAATAACTGTTTATACTATGGTGAGAATTGCCCGTCCAGCTCAGTTGGTAGAGCGCAAGGCTCTTAACCTTGTGGTCGTGGGATCGAGTCTCACAGTGGGCAATTCATAATTGCCGGAGGTCTTCCACGGAAGTTGCTCTCAACCTAGTGTTGAGAACAACCTATTACATTACCTCTCCCTTATCCCATTACATATGAGAATAGGGTCGACTAATTTTTTTGTTTATCCTATTGGTGAACTTCCATGAGGTATGCTCTGTGATCTTGTTCTTCTCACCATGTCTGTGATTCACTATAAGATGAATTTAACTTTGCAAGGTCAAAGTATCTTTCCCATGTTTTTTCATCATTAAGCTCCCAAGAATTATATATCTGAATAATTATAAATTACAAGACTCAAAAATAACTTTTATGTTTGCACTCTTTTCCAACTTCTTGTAATGTATAAAGATATACTTTGCCTACTTGTAAATCTTTTGTATGTATTGTGCCTGGATTATGCATTTTTAAGTTTTAATGATTGTGAAACTAGACTAGTTTCACAATTATGTTCCACTTTGTCCTTGTTCTTTTATTCTCCTCCTTTCATTTTTCAATCATCTTGGTTGTTGATGTCCCAAACCCGGAAGAACATTTCCATGGCATTAGATGTGTGTTGAATCAATCTAATGCACCAAACTAATTCATTTCTTGGTTTAATTCATTTATTGTACCAAACTAATTCAACAAGTACTACGTTGAGTATACCCTAGATTTATATTAAAAAATAAGGCATATGTTAATGAGAGTTATAGGACATAGAATGTTGATGAGACATTAAAATGTCTCACTAACCTATTATTATTAAAGTATAACGAACATAAATTTTAATTTTTAATCAAATTCTATGAAATAATTAATATTTAAATCAAGATCGACATTCAAGGTTGTTTATTTGCCTCTTAATGAAACCGTTCAACGTTAAATGCTGAACCGTTCAGCATTCAATGCTGAACCGTTCAACATTCAATACGTTTGTTTTGCACCTCTGAATGATTCGATGCTGACTGATTCAACACAGAAGTACATTTTAAATGATTCAAAGCTATTATCAAACAACATGTCACATTCAGAACTAATTCATACAGAGCCTCTGAACCATTCAACATTTGAATCATTCAGCGCTTAATCATTCTGAAGTAAACATACAACCTCTCAATATCAATCGAAACTATTGCATCTTAATGCGAATGATTATGGATTTGTACAATTTTAAAAGGCCTGTACAATTTGCGTTATGCCTAGGACTGATTTTTCTAGTGAGTCAATTGACAGGAGTAAGTTATTTGCAGCAACCGAAGATCAATCTTTATCCAAGAGAGGAATAAAATACTGTCAAGCCTCCTAAGGATGTGTTTGAAGAGGGAATTCAAACCTGCAAATTCTCTCTTCTTAGTCAATTCCTTGATAAATCACTGAACTTCAGTGTGTGGTACAGAAAATTGAAGATCTACTTTGGGAGAAGTTGGGGATTGTAGAGGATTGTAGAGGAAATGTTCGCTGGCCCTAATCCCTTTGTTTTTTTTTAATTTGTCGATGCTATAACCGACGATCAATTCCTTGAACACAATCCCTAGCCCTTTCAGAACAAGCCTCTGTTCTTTCATTGTTGGTTGCCTAATCTTAGGAGTCTTGATTTAGATATGGCAAAGATACCTGAGTAGGTGCATTAGGGTTTGATATATATCTAGGCATGGTTATCAAGATGTTACTAAATATTAACAAGAATAATATTAAAATATTTGTGTTATGTCAGCAGAGTCGAGATGAAACTTCTTATACCTATAGATATCATCATATCATCCCTGACATACTAGGAGACTTATGAGGTAGATTCCCTACAAGAACTTCAGTCCCTAAATGCAACTCAACTAACTCAAGCTAGAGATCTACACTACACAGACCCAATCACTCGACTCAAGTCCATTCCATATACATATACTATATCATCTATGGATTTTGCATTAAAGCTCTGATTCTAAGGAGTTTAAGAGCAAACCATGTACCAATATAAAGTTATTTACGTAAAAATAAACCTCAACTGCATCAAACAAAAGCCGCCTGATTTCATAAGCAAACTAAGAAAACCCAACAAAGCCATATCCATCAAAGCTTTGTAGACATTTTCACAAGGAATTAACCCAACGATCCTCTCAACAGTTCTATAATCACACAAACAAAATCGTTCTTTTCAGCTTTCTTTCTGGATATTTTATCATCACAGTCATCACGTTAGTGTTTATCATACTATTATCATAATTAAAATTTGGTTGTTACATAAATTATGACGAACTATTCAGTAAAAATGCAAGACGAAGAAATTCAAGTCTTACATTCATGCACTCGATATGCTTTACCAAGACTCGGAAACAAAGACACACAAACATACCAAGACGTACATAGAAGCTAACAACGGGTCATCAGTTAATCTCAAAGCTATTGGAATTGGACTAAAATTATAGATAATTATCAGGCAAATAACAACATCAAACAATCCCAAATCAGGAATGAAAATCCAGACAATAAACAAAGAACAGAAGGATTAAATATAACAAAGCAACAGTCTTAAGCATTTATCTATAAATTTAAACAAGCAAAACAAACATCCAAAAATTCTGAAACACAAGTCGAAGCTAATTTAAACACATAATAAAAACTTAATTCGAAACAAGCATAACCATATTAAAACGAACCATAAAGCTTCTTCAACGGTAACTCTTCTGGAACCTAGCCCTAGCACCTCTTCCTCCGAACTTCTTGGGCTCGCACCTCCTGGGATCAGCAACCAGCAAAGTCCTATCGTACCTGACCAAAATATCCTTAATCTCCTTCTTGCTCTGCTCATCAACGTACTTCTGGTAAAAAGCCACGAGTGCTTTAGCGATGCTTTGGCGGATAGCGTAGATCTGAGAAGTGTGACCTCCTCCCTTGACTCGGATCCTCATGTCGACGCCGGCGAAGCGTTGACGACCGAGGAGAAGGATTGGCTCGACGGCCTTGAAACGTAGGATCTCCGGCTCGACGAGCTCGATGGGACAGCCGTTGATCTTAATCAGACCACGGCCTCTCTTGCAGTACGTTACGGCCACCGCCGTCTTCTTGCGGCCGAAGCATTGCACCGATTCGATTGCTTTCTCCGCCATCGTCGTTCCGATTATGAGTTTCGCAGATAAAAACGACGGCTCTTACCTTTAAGCAAAACCCCCTCGCGTAAGCTTAATGCGTTGCGGTAAGAGATTTATATAAAAGCTTGCTTTACGAAGTTAGGGTTTTCAAAAAGCTTAAAACGATGCGTTTGAGGAGTTCAAGGCCCATTTTATTTTTGGGCTTTAATTGAACTGCTTTGGTTACATTTAAAGGATTGGTATAAGAGCGTACCAAATATAATTGTCAGTCCATACCCAAAAGCCCAATACTAATGCATGAATTTCACACGTGGGAAAAGTTATTGAACTTTTAATTAATAATGATAAATTTTTGGGTAAATTACATGTTTAGTATCTAAACTGTCAGATTTGGTTCTTTTTAATACTTAAGCTTTTAATTTTTTTAAAACTATATTTAAAATTTATTTTTTAGTTTATTTTAGTCTTTGTTTCCTTTTAGTAACCCCTTTCAAAATTTAAAGTTAAGTTTAAAATAATTGAAAGTTTAGGTACTAAAACATATCAAAATTGATAGTTTAGATACTAAGCTCATTAAGTTTTTAATGGTGAAGTAATAAAAAAAATAAAAACTAAATGTTAGGTATGGTTTTGAAATTTTGAAAGTTTAGATACTGAAACAGACTAAAATTGATAGTTTAATCACTAAATGCGTAGTTTATCCTATAATTTTATATCCAATTGATGTTGATATGATCTAGTTTAATATAATTGATTTCTTTAATGAAATTTTAGTTTCGGGTTGGTTCTGGTTTAGGACAGAACTAGGATCAAATATTATGAAGAATAAGCTACTTAAGTTTAAAATAATATAAATTTATTAAGTATTTAATTTAAAAAAATAGAAAGTGATAAAAGTTCGATTTTACATAAATTTAAATTAATAAGAACCTAAATGATATTAAAAGCAAGAATTTGAAAGGATTCTACATACATCCGTCTTCGATTCGGGTCAGATTTTTCTTAAACTTGTTCAAATTTGAGTTTAAAACTCGCTCGTCCTATTTGTTTTTGGTTGTCCCTTGTTCCCATATGTAATGGGGTAAGGGGAGGTAAGATAGTAGGCTGTCCCCAACACTAGGGGTGTATTCGGTTCGGTTCGGTTTTTTACCAAAAATTGAACCGAACCGAAATAAACGGGTTTTCAATATTTAAACCGAATCCGAAATCGAATAGTTAAAAAATTGAAAAAATCGAAACCGGTTTTTTCGGTTCGATTCGGTTTATCGGTTTTTCAATAAAAAAATCACTTGAAACTATAATTTTTTTTTACAAAAATTGCCTATTCGGTTCAATATGGAACAAATGGGTTCCATATGAAAAATCTGAACCGAACCGAATCAAAAAAATGAAGCCTTTAAACCGAACCGAAAACCGAACCGTTTAAAACTAAACCGAACCGAACCGAACCGTTTTACTCGGTTCGTGTCAGTTTTTCAGTTTTCTCGGTTTCGTTGCTCAGCCCTACCCAACACCAGGTTGAGAGCAACTTCCGTAGAAGACCTCCGAATTATGAAATGCTCTCCGTAGGACTCGAGCCCACGACCTCAAGGTTAAGAACCTTGTGCTCTACCAACTGAGCTTGATAGTCATCTCTCGCTCGTCCTATTTGTGATAGTTATAAAAGTGCAATTTTTATTCTTATTTGCATATTATTCGTTAGTTTTTTTTATATAGAAAGTTGATAGTTTTATTAAAAAAAATATTTTTAGAATTACAATAAATATTTACAATCAAATAAATATACAAAAAAAATCTGACTGCATCGACAAACGAACTATAAAATGGGATGGTACTACTGAAAAATCATCGACAAATCGTAACTCAGAGTCAATCGACATGAGAAAACTATCCACGAACGCAAAACGCGTATCAAAATCAATTGAAGGGTCCAAAGGAGGGAAGATCAGCGTGGTAACAAATAAACGTCATCTTGATCTGTAGTGACGATGTCAAATTCAACCATAAGAAAAAAGATAAACGAAAATAACAGTCAAACGACTGAACAAAAACGGAATTATTCTTATTAAAAAAAATTACAATGCCTTGCTAGAAATGAAAATGGCAGCAATAGTAGGGCGATAAAGCGTCGAAAAGAAAAGTATAAATTAATGGTGTGATTGTGATTGTGTGAGCAAAGGAATGTGCAGTGATATCATCCTAAAGAAGATAAAAATTATGATCAAAACTGACAAATGATATTTCTGGTTAAGGCTACCAACTGAAACCGTAGTTATCTGGTTTTTCAAATGCTCTCCAACACAGAAATATATATAGCCTCTCTCTCTCTCGTAATATCCCCACACTATGTTTTGGAAAGGACTACAAGCTCTCATCATACTACATTAACTCGTCAAACCAAACGATTAACCAATCGCCACGTTATGTAAACGACCGCTGTTTTGCCTCACGCTGCTTCTTCATTTTACCGGTCACCATTCAGTTTTGGTAACGAGATTTCTTATTATAACCTTTCTTCCTTCTAAACAGTAGCCTCCTTAGCATGCCGACTCCTTGCTTCTTGCTTGGCACAATAGCCAAAGCCATATCACTGGCATTAGTACTTTCCCGTCTCGAACCATGACATGCTTCTGAAGCATGCAACAGAAAACCTGATGCCTGCAACTTTTTGCGGTTATTGGAGTGGGGAAGGCTTGAATCTTCCGCTTCTTGAATTTTGGGAGACTTGACAACACCTGCTTTGCCACCATCATCGGTTAGCATCCGGTCGTGCAAGGAGAGGCGTTTGTTCACCCTTCTGTTGCTTATGGCGGCCGCGGAAGCACTTGTGTTGGAGAAAACCTTTTCAAAGCTTACTGCATCTCGAGGTGCGGCCAACACCTTGAATTGCTTACCTAGGTTCAGCATTGTTTCTTCGCACTCTGCCAACTTAACTGAAGCCGCTGTAATTTCCCAACCCTGTATGTTCAAAATGCAGACATAATATCAGTGTTCCATATACTTTTTCCATTTCCAATTTGCATATATTGGCTCATGCCTTTAGAACACAAGTAAAACAAAACCACTATTCGAAACAGAAAGTTTGCCATTAGACATTGATATCAACTGTAAACGTTGCATATCAGAAAAATACCGAAGACCAGATTAAATTCTAGTAAGTCAGGCGAAATATAGGCTAACAGCAGAATGACTTACCTTTTGAGATTGCTTCCACTCTTGATTCATAGCTTGCTTCAGCATTTCGTTCTTCGCCACACTGCGAGTTTATGTTCCATAAATCAGAAACTACCGACAAATTTTCTTCAGAGTTCACAGGAACTAAAACTAAGAAGCAGCACTTTACCTCTCTAACTGGAGCTGATGCTCTAGGCATGTAGCTTCTAGCTCTTCACAAGAGCTAGTTTTGTACTCCAACTCAACTTCCAAAGATGAGCACTTTTGGAAGATTTCATTCAGTTTAGCTTTGGCAACAGTGAGCTGGGTATCAAGATCTTCATTAATCGATTTCTGATTTTCAAGCTGATCCTCTATCATTTCCTTTGATTCTTTTAACATGCTAAGTTCTGCTTGTAAGCTTCCAATGCTTCCTTTTGATTCTTCAAGTTGTACTATCAGGGCCTCACTCTTGTTAGTTGGCGATTCCAGCTTGGTTTTCGAAACCTTCAAATCTTCTTTTAATCTCTTGTTTTCTTCCTCCGGGCTACAAGAAATACCATCCTTTTCGGGGATAACACTTGGCGAAGATGATTGTTCTTCAGAAATGTGAGTGAAATCCGATTCTAGTACTAAACCTTGGTTTGCAGAAGCAACTTCTTTTTCACCATGTGAATCATTCCAACCAAAATGCCTTTGATCTTATCCCTTGCTCTTGAAGCTTCCTGTGGAGTAACACAGAAGTTCACAACCCAGTCCAAAGCAAATGAGAGTTCTTCGGCAAAAGTTTCGAGATCAGCCCTTTGATCCAACAGATCATTACATGAACAAAGAAAACGTTGTTGAACAGTGTTTAGTTCCGAACTTTTCCACTGAAAGACACGGACGAAGTAGTTGGCATGACTTGGTGATTGTTTAGGAGTTCGATTTTTCTCTAGGCAAGTGTCAGAAGAATTGGAAGATGTTAGTCCAATTCCTTCAATCAGTTCGATAATTTTACCAATTGACTTGCTCAGATTAGGCTGAAACTGTTGGCCTTTTGTTTTTCCGGCTGAGGTATCGACACTAGAAGCTCCACCGAGTGAATCTGTAGTCGGAGACATGTTTGGAGATTTCCAGCCTATGTAGCCACTAATATGGAGAGCATCAGCTTCTATGGGATGTATTGAGCATGCATTTTTGTTGACATCAGGGGTATTTAAAAGATTGCTACAACCCAAAGCAATTTTGATGTCCTCAAGAATTTCGACTAAACTTCGGTCAGAAATACGTTTGTGCTCGGAGATAGCCTGCAAAACAACCTGAAGCCAATCGAATGGTCTTTCACCGGCTACGTCTTTTGACTGCACCTGTCTTGTATTCCTGAAGCCGCAGTGACCCTGCTCAAATGGAACCAACTCCTTACCATCTGATAAGGCTAATTTTTCCATCTCTACAAAATCGTCCATTAGTCTCATTTCTGGAACTATAATGGCCTTGTGTTCCATTGGATTCCAAAGTCGTTTATCTGACAAAGTATTAGCCCATGAACAAGAAGAGCTATTTCCGTCGATACTGCCAATATCAAAACCGGATGTTATAGATAGTTCACTTGATATTGGACTACTCCTTATTAGCTCCATTGATTTATGTTCTTTAAACAGTTCTTTAGGCTGAATCTCGAGTTCTGTTGCCGGCCTGGATGATGTTTGAGAACACATTGAACTCAATGACTGGATTTGAGCATTCTTCTTGGTCATTATTTCTCTGAGAGTCTTGTTTTCTTCTTCGACATTGCGTAGTTGTTCCAACTGAAGATTGTTACTCATCTCTGCCTTGTCCTTTGCTAACATTTCGACTTCATTCTTCATTTTCATCATGGCAGCTGGACCCGGCAACCTCTTTCGCAGAAGTAAGCATAACTTCTGGCATTCTGCTTCCAACTTGGCGATTTTCTTAGA